GGCTTTAAGCAGCTGATGAGAAGCCAGCAAAATAAATGATGGTACCATTTTATTCCTCAAAACCTGTTGTTCTTGCTAATTCTCTATAGTTGATTTGTAAGGATCAGTTTTGTTTTCAAGAGATGATCACTGATTCATATCAGTTACAAAACCATTGAAAATCAGGAGGTACTGGAGAGCTGTTTCATAAATGTATGGATCAGAATCATTTCAAAAAATTGTCTCAAAGTTATCTTAAAAGTGATAATAATAGTAATAACAATAATTTTTGTTTTATTCCAAAAACAGTACTAATGATACAGTAAGGAATTTTCAGCATTCACTACAACATTGCATCTAATTTACTCAAAATGACAAAAAATAAGCATTACATAATAATAATAATACCAAAACGTTGTTATAGCAGCTATGTAGCAATTACAGTATTCGATAAGGAGAAAAATATGCATAAAGTATAAAATTATAGTAATAATAGTAATAACAATTGAAATAAAATAGGAAAGTTATAATTAAACGATAGAAAGGGTGACACCATAAAATTACAGAAAGATGAACGATGAAAGGGTCGATTCACTTTGCTAATTACATAGTAACTTATATGTTTCACGTCTAACAGTGTCTTCATCACATAAAATACGGGCTAAATACGGTATTGCAGAATTTTTGTACTTCGTGGTTCGAGCATATAACTTCTTATATTGACTTCTCGTTCTACCTGATGAGATGCAAGGTGATAGTTGTGAATAAAGGGGGTGCAGGGGGTCTGACAGCACGGCCTTCGCCCATTTTGTACAGGAATTTATGTGTCTCTTGACAATAGTATTGGTGAGCTCACGCAGTGGCATACCACAAGCCCTACTTACAGCATTTAATACCCTTCGTAATATGATATAGTCTTTTTTGAGAAGCTTGGAAACGAAATTAAACAGTATCAGGACGAATTACAGGTGTGTAGACAATGAGCATGGAAACAGAGTGAAATAATGATATTTTGGAATTGAAATGGAAGCTAGGAGGTGTGAATATTGATTACAGGAGTCTAATACGCAAAACTTGCTCAGAATAAGAATATAATTTAAAAATAATTATTTTAAATGAATTACAAATAGGATCAAGAAGAGCATAGAAACAAACTTAAAATAACTGTCGTTATAACAGAAAAAATTGCATCAATTGAATGAAGACAAAGAGAGAAAATTCACACACACAGCGAACAAAGAAATTCAAAACCGGAGGCTGAAGGAACACACCAAACTAGATCCATGGTATCGTGGAGGTTGAAATTATTTCCTTTGACCACACAGCTCTGGCATATCAATGGACATTTAGAGGGCTTCTGCAGTACAGAAAAGTCAATTGTATCTAAAAAGAATTTAAGAATTCTCATCCTGCGAATAAATTCACAATGAAACTAGAAAAAGATTCATGAATCACTCAATTTATGACATTAATAGTTTTGCGACTTGACACTGAACTATGATTGTAATCACAAAGATTTTGTTTGTATGAAATACTGCTGTTATTATTTCATGTATTTACACCTTTGATTCAATCCCCTCGACGGATATAATTTCTTGAAGAAAACCGTATACATACGATTGTAAAGTTAGATAATGAACTCATCGGAAAGAGTCCATTCGCAGAATATAATAAGCGCCACGAAGGTCTCCTCATTTCTCAACAGTCTTCCCCATGTGAAGCCGATTTCAGATGGTTATAGTGTGAATTGGTGATAGTACTCTTACATTCTGGCTTACTAGAAGACTAATTAGACTGACTAGAATGCACTGAAAGCTGAATCAATAAACTGCACACTCAACTTAGTGTGATATCGATTTAGAAGAGAAAAACCAACGCAAATATTTCAACATAATAAGCAAACAAATAAACAAAGAAAAAACAACCTGACAAGAGTAACAAAGGTTCACCTCAGTATCACATTGCTTACATAACTTGGTTTAGACAAAATAAACGTGACTTAACTAAAGATAATTAGATGAGAATAATTTTACAATATTCAACACAAAAGATGCCGCAGAATATAGGTGAAGCAAGGAAAGACGAAGAGAAGAAGAAACGGAAGAAGAAATAATAGTACTACTACTAGTAGTAGTATTAGTAGTAGAAGTATTAGTAGGCTGTTAATAGACGATGAAAAACACCAGGGAGTATTGAACAGTTATTTCTTTAGCCTAGCTTTGGACTCATTGGATGTACGTAACCAATGGGGTTTGAGTGCAGTACCTTGCGATTTCAAGAGAGACTGGTTTACCATTCAGCCATTGAGACCTAACTCGAACGGTAAGCCCAAGAATTCTTACTCTTACTAACACCAGCCAGTGTCACTCACGGTGACTATTTGTTCTCATTCCCGAGTGAGTTGACTATACAGGTAACGAGTTATCACTAGAAATCACACCAGGAAAATTTGTTCTGCAGATAGTCACTAGTGAGTGTCAGAATAATTTACAAGGGATAGTGTGTGAGAATTTGATTTATATCATGTTTAACCACGATTTGATATCGTTCAGTAAAGCCCTGATAACTAACTTCATCCACCTATAATTGGTCTAAATTCACCAATCGGTAGTAGTTAGAATTCTTGCATTGGTCATTCAGTGAATGTTAAGAACACAATAATCAGCGAAGAGACTCTTTTCAACGAATTTATTATCAAGCTGTACAATCGTATATATATGGTTTTTAAGAAATTATATCCGGTGAGGGAATTAGGTCAAAGGTGTGAATACATGAAATAATAATAGTATGAAATGCAATTAAAATATTTGTGATTATAATCATAGTTTAATGTCGAGTGGCACAATAATTAATATCGTATATAGAATAATACATACGGTGTATAGATTTTGGAAAAGGGTACATAATTATAAGATTAGTAGACGAATATAAAATGTTACATAACATGGTATGAAATTTGATAAGACAGAATTCAATATTGTAAAAAATATAAAAATTAATAATTTTAGGTTTAAAATGTCAAGTGGGTCAAGTGAAAAAGATTCAGAGTGAGAATAGTAATAATAATGATGATAATAATACTACTAATAATAATAATAGTAATAAGGGAAGAGTACATAGAATAACTAAATAAACAAAATAAACAAATGTCTATCCCTCTACGGTCAAGGCAGAAGTAGGGATTGTACATACTTCTTTTGTACACAAAGGTCTGGCTTAAAGTCATGAATTGCCAAGGCCTCAGCTGTCTTTAGAAGTCTGTAACGAATAGAACGCTGGAAGTTAGCATGTATTACATATACGATATTAAAATCATGGTCAGGGTTAACAGAGTGACAGAAGTCGATCAGGTGTTCCAAAATAGAGCTTCTCACACACTTCCTCTCTCCCTTAAAAAAACCAAGCTGGAATATGTTCTCGTATCCATGTGGAAAGCGTCCTCTGACTACGGCCAATGTACCTAGCTCCACAAGAGCAGGTGAACTGATAGATGCACATGGAGGTGGCCAGACGGGGAAGCTTATCTTTTACAGAGGCAGAGAACAACTTGCGGCTAGTGAACGTCATATGTAATTTTGCTGCATAGAACGTCTTACTGACTGATTTGGAGAGACGATTTTTGAGCATATCTGAAGCTTGATCACCTTTGAATTCCAAGTTCATGAATAAGGTTTTCTTTGGAACTGTGTCGGTAACCATTTTAGACTGCTTTCCTTTCATGTTGCTGTCAATAAATCGGTTAGGGTAACCGTTTTCTGCCAGCGTGGCTTTTAAGAAATCAAGTTCCGAGTCAACGGAATCAGAACTACAAATTTTCCTTATCCTATAGCAAAGCAAATGAATTAAGCTCCTTTTCCTGGAGATAGGCACCCAACTGTAAAAATTAGTTAGTTGTCCGTTCCATGTACGTTTGCGGTGGATAGATCTTTTGAGAGATCCGTCATTACGTCTGCTAAGGCACACATCAAGAAAGGGAATACTCAGTTCGGATTCCTTTTCTACGGTGAATTGTAAAGAAGGATGGCAGTTGTTGAAAGTAAACAGGACATCATCAAGAGTTACATTTTTATCGCAGATAACGAAAGTGTCGTCTACGTATCGTTTATAAATGTCAAAATTCTCAACTTAGTCAAACCATCGGTCAGATATGCTCAAAAATCGTCTCTCCAAATCAGTCAGTAAGACGTTCTATGCAGCAAAATTACATATGACGTTCACTAGCCGCAAGTTGTTCTCTGCCTCTGTAAAAGATAAGCTTCCCCGTCTGGCCACCTCCATGTGCATCTATCAGTTCACCTGCTCTTGTGGAGCTAGGTACATTGGCCGTAGTCAGAGGACGCTTTCCACATGGATACGAGAACATATTCCAGCTTGGTTTTTTTAAGGGAGAGAGGAAGTGTGTGAGAAGCTCTATTTTGGAACACCTGATCGACTTCTGTCACTCTGTTAACCCTGACCATGATTTTAAGTTCAGTGAATGGTCTACAAACCTGTCAAACCATGGAAAATTCTGGGTCCCAATTCAAATGGCTAATTACTGCCTATGAGTCCCAAATTAGGGAGAGAGGAAGGATGTCCAGTACACTCTCCTGTTATTCAATGGTCCGCTAAATGTTATCTTACCACTGTGAAACGTGCAGAAATTCAAATTACCTCCTACAGGGTAACTCTTGAGAATTCTACTAAATTTGAAATAGATGTCAGTCTATCTTCTGAGAAAGGATTGGTTGATTTACCTTTACATGAATGGTGACCATAGACAGCAACAAAGACCGTGAATCAGTATACTGTTGTTTTTCTTCTGTTACCAATGTACTACTGGCTGATTTTATATGCCACGTAGTATGCTTTGTTACTTGCCAAATTTACCTGCATCTTTAGATAGGTGAAGACAAAAATGAGATACACATATGTAAAGCATATACATACATAGTGTGCGTTCAAATATAACCATAAAAATGCATGAAATTATTTTGCAGTAGATAACACAGACAACATACACTGTTGAGAGATTTTAAATCATGAGAAATTTATTACTGCAGACACTATGTTGCCTTCTACTCCTATTATCTTTTATCAATGCAAGTAATGAAAGTAAGTTGATTATTATTCCTTTTTTACAATTTGTCGAAATATTATCATTTTCCTTTTTGTAGTATTATTTTTGGATCAAAATTTTCTCAGTTTTATTTAAAGTAGTTAATTACCCATCACTATAACTATTTAAAAGGTGAATTTCAGTGCAAATTTTCTTAAGATTACAACTTAGATAGGGAATCATTGATCATTTGAACGGGTTTTTCGTTCTGGTGTGAATGTCTGTGCAGGCGTTGGCTGATAGCAGAACTATATTAGAGGATTAGCTGAAGTTAGAATGCCTTGGTATGTCGATTCCGAGCGAATGATTGAATGACCAACGCACCAGTCTTATAATCTGAAAAGTTAGGTCTACAGTTAAGTCATAGGTGAAGAAATTTTTACTACGGAGAAATAGATGCTTTTCAATAATGCTCTAAACTTATGTTAGTTCTGCACTCAAATTAATCAAAAGTCACTAGTGTAAGACCTGAAATCTGAATATTTCAGTTAAGCCTAGAATTATTTTACTCAATGTAAATAAATGCCTTGGATTTCATAAAATGTTTTCGTGTGGTTGTGTTCGCTTAGCTGGATAGTTAATTTGCGAAGCTTTCATCACCCTAGTAGGTGACACCAAAATCATCCACCTGAGCTACAAAATTTCTCTATCATATTCTTGAAATGTGTACGTGGAAGATTTCGACTTCATCTCTTGAATAATTTATCTACAGCAAAGTAAAGTCAATTCGACCTGATTATCTAAATACGTAGATAAGCATTTTGTGTTCAACGGAACTTCCACAATCATCTCCATTTACACGTGAATCGAATCATCAATCTAGAGAGAGGGAATATCAATCTAGAATGAATTAAGTGCAAGTGTTTTGAGCATTTAAATATCCATGGGATTTCCTGTTATTTCATTGATTTTATTCAAGTTAAACTCCAAACTATGAGTTAGATTAGCATTTTAATTCTCCACAGGTGAAAGACTTCTTGGTTAATAAAATTAGTATGGGTGTAATCAAAATAAAGGTACCCTGTGTTGACCAGAATCTCATCTATAGTATGTGCAGTGTGTTACTCTTGATGTTGATTAACTATTCTTCTCAGCTGTCATTTGCTGTAAGAGTTTACATCCCGATATGCATGTATAGAGGTAATAGAGCAGGATTTAGTGAATTCATCAAATTTTGGTGGAACTCCTCCTCAACTGAACACTCTAAATACAGTGATATATATGTACCACTAGAGGTACACTGAGAGACATTTGGCTGAAAAATAAACAAATTATGGTGAATCAGTCATGCGGAACGACAGGTGAAGGTTTTTTACAGGCGAAGTTCAGATAGATAAACAGGAAGGAGTATGACGGATTAATATTAAGATTTGAGTGGATCACAGTTCAGTCACATCACTAGAAGAAACAATCACTTACTAGGGAAAAATCTAGAAGAGGTCAGAAATTATGAAGCTTATAATAATAGTAAAATGAGTAAGGATTATAATGCTAACAAAAGATGGTTTTAATTCAGTCAAGAATAATAACAAGATTTTTGTAAATACTCATAAGTGGAAAACTAAACGGCATTGTTTCCACTAACTTTTCGCTATATAATTCTGCCGATCGCCTTATAAAAATTGGCAATATTGAAACAGAATTCGCGATAGCTAGGCTTATATATCACAACTTAATCATCTTTATTCAACATACGACAATTCTTACATTTTCAAGAAAAAATTCCAATTAATTCACAATCTGTTTGTGGTTATAAAGTAATATGTATTGAAATGTGATGCGATGTACATTAGACAATCACCCGTGAGAAATCAAGACCAGAAGAAATTGACGCTGTAGGTCATCTGTCCAACCATCGAGTAGTTTAGTTGAACTATAAAAGCATAAAAAGTCATCAGGCGGGTGTACACGGTAGAAGGAGTCAGACCATATAATTGATTTTGACAATCCGGATGAATGTGAGAAATCACAAAGAACGTCTAACATCGGAAGTAATTGATGTTAAATGTGATGCGAACTCTCCAATTGGAAATAATGGAGCAAGATAGAATTTGACGTGGTTCCAATATCACCAACCTCGTCTCCCATGAAGTGGCAGAGTAAACACAAATGTGATACGCAATATTGCTATGTAAAGACATGCTGTTGTTATAGCGTCTTTCACTTCTTATATCCAACCACCTGCACATAGTTTTGTTATCCTTACCAAGTGACCAACTTGACAATCTTGAACTTATTTAATATTTATAAATATATGTACTACAGGGTGTCTATCAGATGAGATATTAGTCAATAAAGAAGATGCACTCAGAAAAATCATGAACTAATCTTTCGCCTTCGGGTATCCAGTTCCCTCCACAATTTGGAAACCATCTTTAAGGCTATGTTTTAATAATTTAGTGTGCGACAGTTGCAAAAAATGTACCACACATTTCGCAGTTGAATGATTAGGTGATGTAGACATATCAAGGACTGCTCCAAGTGGAAAGTCTCTTTTATGGATCTTACGTAGACCATATAACCTGGATGTCACAGCATCTACAGATCACTGAATAATGTCATTATTTTATTTAAATAGTCAGTTTTATGTATGACAACAACCAATAGGACTCTATCATGTTTTGGAAGCACTAAATCCTCTTTTCGTAAATTTCTGTAGAGTCTCTTCATGTTTTATAGTTCAAATAACCTCCACATTGAATATCCACAACAGTCAACTAAAAATTGAATGATTTGATTTCTTTGTTATGTGAACAGCATCTTTCCGTAATGATCTCAGAATGCATAATCTTCCTAATACAGAATTTCAAAAGTGTGCTGCGTGCTACTTAAATATATATATAAGTAGTGTTAGTAGTGAGGTCTTCAAAACAAGGTGAAATGAAGGAATATGGCCAGAAATTCCGATAATACACGATAGATAACCAAGGATAGATACCTTTTTAAAACAGAATAGTTGACGCTGTTCTGAGATGGTAAAATAATTTGCAGGTGAATTTTCTCCTTTCCTATATATAAGATGGACGACGACTACAATTCTGACTTTATCTAATTCGATATTATCTTCCTCATGAGCCAGCATGATACTGAGCAGATGATCTGTGATAGATAAGATCGGCGTCTTAAGTGGGTGACAGTGTCATAGTTATGGTTTCCTAGCTGTGTGGTGTAATTGCTAAGCTATCGATTTTCTTCCAAGACAATATATTGAGGACTGAACACAATATGAAAACGTCGCCAATTAACTACCAAGCTCAAAGAACAAAATTACACCAAAAAATTTGTGTTCACAAAGTAGAATACCATAAGTGAAAGCGATCACTTCCTTCACTTATCTTAGCGACACCTTACCAACTACAGTAAATTAATATGGATGAGAATGTCACAATCATAATCGGAATCGAAAGTCGGAACCTAGTCACTCTAAAACCAGTTCGGAAATTTTCCAACAATCTTCTAACAATGACAGAGTTCACTGACAGGAATTTCGAGCCAAATAAAACTGAAATCAAACACAAAAGATATTGATTAGCCCTCTCGTCAACCTGAAGATCCTGGGTTTAATCTCCCCTGGCAGAGATGGTGTGGGGTTCTATGTGTGTCACATGGATAGGAATAACTGTTAGAAAGAGGAAAATGCCCTAGTTAGTCCCACTCACATATTAGAATCAAAATCTGTGGTAAAAGTATAAATTTCATTGCGAGATGACCGGCACACGTTGGATCGACAAGAAGACTCTGGAAGATCGAGACTTCACGGAGGATTTATATCTAATGTCGTACAAACTAGGTAATCTACAGGTGAAAACCAACAATCTGGCATAAGTGGCCGGCAACGAAGACGGGTTTCCAAGTGAAGATAGAGAAGAGAGAAGTTAAGGTGCCTAACCAACAATAAAAATAAGCAGCCTTCACTACAAACGGAGGAAATGTGAAGCAATTAAATTCTTCAGTCTCTCTAGACATTATTGTTTCGGCTACAGAAGGCCGACAAAAGAATGATTGGAAAAGCAACATAGGCATTCATTACTCTGTAATCAGTGCATAAATATATTGTATTCGCAATTAGGGGCAAGATTAGCATCTTCAGCATTTATCTCACATAAATGCTTCTTTACGAACTGAAGACTTGCCACGTGAGTGACAGGAAGCAGTTAAGACAGGCTGTCTATTTTCATTAACAGCAGCTTTCTCTGCATAGTGAAGAATATATAGTCAGAAAGTATTGGATCTCTGACAAGAAATCAACCAAGACCCTATTATACAACAAATATTTTGGAAGGAAGAGAGACAGATTGTCCACATGATGAAAGGGTTTGTAGAATAATGACATGCAACAGATAGTCCAGTGAGACTCGAATGGGAAACAAAAAGTTGGTTGTAGTTACCAGGGTGATATGCGAGAGGTTGCATGCTGAGAAAATGACGGTTTATGTGCGATCATGGGGCTAACTGAAAAATACTGCATAGAACACGGTAGGAATGAGATGAGTTGCTGAGTTCATGTTTTCCACACGGATTCTGATGGACCGATCAGGATACAGAAATAAAATCCACAAAAAAGAAAACATCCCGGAATATAGGTGAACCAATAGCAAAGCATACTAAAATATTCCGTCTCAGAATGATTCAAAATCGAACAAAAAACAAAGACAATGATCGCGGAATAAAACCATATATTCATTAGGAAAACAAGAAATATTTTATAAGCGACAATACATATCCATAAAAAGACTAGAATTTTAGGCAAATTGGTCATAATTCATCAAAAAAAAACATGGAATAACTGTGAAAAAAAAATACTGAGAGCAAAAATATTGACGAAATTCGTTAAAGATACAAATGCTCTCTTTCAAGAAAAATACAAAAAAATCATTCAAATAATATAAAACAACAAACAATTTACAGGATTAATAATTTCCCTAAAAACTTCCACCTACTCAAAAATAACTCAGCAAGAAATATTACGATATAAACACTAAATCTCAGTATTTTTCAATCGATGTACACTTCCTCCAAATCTTACTCCACAGAAACACCACAAGAAAAAATCAAGTCAACAAGACGTCGAGCAAATATCAATGCGGCATTTCAGGAGAGAATAAATTTTTTTGAACCAAAAACACCAGGTGAGTGAGTTCATTGTGCACCCAACACTCGCCCCCTCCACCCCTGTTCATCCACCAGCCCAGCCTTCATAATCCATCCAGCAGTATGCATCAACCACCATCGAATTCACTCGGCCTACCACACAAACAGAAACAAAAGCCTACAAACAAAGAGACCTTCAACACAGAAAAAATGTCTAACTATCCAAGTGACCAACTAAATGGCGATGACAGTCAACCACATTTCATGCAATCACAGCAAACTCGCCGAATTCAAACGAGAAATGCTCGCGGTGATACACTTAAGCCGACACATCACACCACATCACGACACAGGGCCACACAACACGCAACAACACTACACTACACAACACAACACATTCACTGAAAATCCCTAGTCAACATCATTCATCATACAGGTTTGATAATTTCGCTAAATCCTTCCAACAATTCCGCATCACTCACAACGTAATATTCCCTTATACCACTCTATATCTCTCTATTTCTGTCTCTCTGCCGCACTCACTCTCCCTCTTACTCCACAGAAACACCACAAGAAAAAAGCAAGTCAACAAGACGTCGGGGAAGTCTCAATGAGACATTTCAGAGCAGAATAAATTTTTTTGAACCAAAAACACCAGGTGAGTAAGTTCATTGTGCACCCAACACTCGCCCTCTCCACCCCTGTTCATCCACCAGCCCAGCCTTCATAATCCATCCAGCAGTATGCATCAACCACCATCGAATTCACTCGGCCTACCACACAAACAAACACAAAAGCCTACAAACAAAGAGACCTTCAACACAGAAAAAATGTCTAACTATCCAAGTGACCAACTAACTGCCGATGACAGTCAACCACATTTCATGCAATCACAGCAAACTCGCCGAATTCAAACGAGAAATGCTCGCGGTGATACACTTAAGCCGACACATCACACCACATCACGGCACAGGGCCACACAACACGCAACAACACTACACTACACAACACAACACATTCACTGAAAATCCCTAGTCAACACCATTCATCATACAGGTTTGATAATTTCGCTAAATCCTTCCAACAATTCCGCATCACTCACAACGTAATATTCCCTTATACCACTCTATATCTCTCTATTTCTGTCTCTCTGCCGCACTCACTCTCCCTCTTACTCCACAGAAACACCACAAGAAAAAAGCAAGTCAACAAGACGTCGGGGAAGTCTCAATGAGACATTTCAGAGCAGAATAAATTTTTTTGAACCAAAAACACCAGGTGAGTGAGTTTATTGTGCACCCAACACTCGCCCTCTCCACCCCTGTTCATCCACCAGCCCAGCCTTCATAATCCATCCAGCAGTATGCATCAACCACCATCGAATTCACTCGGCCTACCACACAAACAAACACAAAAGCCTACAAACAAAGAGACCTTCAACACAGAAAAAATGTCTAACTATCCAAGTGACCAACTAACTGCCGATGACAGTCAACCACATTTCATGCAATCACAGCAAACTCGCCGAATTCAAACGAGAAATGCTCGCGGTGATACACTTAAGCCGACACATCACACCACATCACGACACAGGGCCACACAACACGCAACAACACTACACTACACAACACAACACATTCACTGAAAATCCCTAGTCAACACCATTCATCATACAGGTTTGATAATTTCGCTAAATCCTTCCAACAATTCCGCATCACTCACAACGTAATATTCCCTTATACCACTCTATATCTCTCTATTTCTGTCTCTCTGCCGCACTCACTCTCCCTCTTACTCCACAGAAACACCACAAGAAAAAAGCAAGTCAACAAGACGTCGGGGAAGTCTCAATGAGACATTTCAGAGCAGAATAAATTTTTTTGAACCAAAAACACCAGGTGAGTAAGTTCATTGTGCACCCAACACTCGCCCTCTCCACCCCTGTTCATCCACCAGCCCAGCCTTCATAATCCATCCAGCAGTATGCATCAACCACCATCGAATTCACTCGGCCTACCACACAAACAAACACAAAAGCCTACAAACAAAGAGACCTTCAACACAGAAAAAATGTCTAACTATCCAAGTGACCAACTAACTGCCGATGACAGTCAACCACATTTCATGCAATCACAGCAAACTCGCCGAATTCAAACGAGAAATGCTCGCGGTGATACACTTAAGCCGACACATCACACCACATCACGGCACAGGGCCACACAACACGCAACAACACTACACTACACAACACAACACATTCACTGAAAATCCCTAGTCAACACCATTCATCATACAGGTTTGATAATTTCGCTAAATCCTTCCAACAATTCCGCATCACTCACAACGTAATATTCCCTTATACCACTCTATATCTCTCTATTTCTGTCTCTCTGCCGCACTCACTCTCCCTCTTACTCCACAGAAACACCACAAGAAAAAAGCAAGTCAACAAGACGTCGGGGAAGTCTCAATGAGACATTTCAGAGCAGAATAAATTTTTTTGAACCAAAAACACCAGGTGAGTGAGTTTATTGTGCACCCAACACTCGCCCTCTCCACCCCTGTTCATCCACCAGCCCAGCCTTCATAATCCATCCAGCAGTATGCATCAACCACCATCGAATTCACTCGGCCTACCACACAAACAAACACAAAAGCCTACAAACAAAGAGACCTTCAACACAGAAAAAATGTCTAACTATCCAAGTGACCAACTAACTGCCGATGACAGTCAACCACATTTCATGCAATCACAGCAAACTCGCCGAATTCAAACGAGAAATGCTCGCGGTGATACACTTAAGCCGACACATCACACCACATCACGACACAGGGCCACACAACACGCAACAACACTACACTACACAACACAACACATTCACTGAAAATCCCTAGTCAACATCATTCATCATACAGGTTTGATAATTTCGCTAAATCCTTCCAACAATTCCGCATCACTCACAACGTAATATTCCCTTATACCACTCTATATCTCTCTATTTCTGTCTCTCTGCCGCACTCACTCTCCCTCTTACTCCACAGAAACACCACAAGAAAAAAGCAAGTCAACAAGACGTCGGGGAAGTCTCAATGAGACATTTCAGAGCAGAATAAGTTATTTTGAACCAAAAGAACCAGGTGAGTGAGTTCATTGTGCACCCAACACTCGCCCTCTCCACCCCTGTTCATCCACCAGCCCAGCCTTCATAATCCATCCAGCAGTATGCATCAACCACCATCGAATTCACTCGGCCTACCACACAAACAAACACAAAAGCCTACAAACAAAGAGACCTTCAACACAGAAAAAATGTCTAACTATCCAAGTGACCAACTAACTGCCGATGACAGTCAACCACATTTCATGCAATCACAGCAAACTCGCCGAATTCAAACGAGAAATGCTCGCGGTGATACACTTAAGCCGACACATCACACCACATCACGGCACAGGGCCACACAACACGCAACAACACTACACTACACAACACAACACATTCACTGAAAATCCCTAGTCAACACCATTCATCATACAGGTTTGATAATTTCGCTAAATCCTTCCAACAATTCCGCATCACTCACAACGTAATATTCCCTTATACCACTCTATATCTCTCTATTTCTGTCTCTCTGCCGCACTCACTCTCCCTCTTACTCCACAGAAACACCACAAGAAAAAAGCAAGTCAACAAGACGTCGGGGAAGTCTCAATGAGACATTTCAGAGCAGAATAAATTTTTTTGAACCAAAAACACCAGGTGAGTGAGTTCATTGTGCACCCAACACTCGCCCTCTCCACCCCTGTTCATCCACCAGCCCAGCCTTCATAATCCATCCAGCAGTATGCATCAACCACCATCGAATTCACTCGGCCTACCACACAAACAAACACAAAAGCCTACAAACAAAGAGACCTTCAACACAGAAAAAATGTCTAACTATCCAAGTGACCAACTAACTGCCGATGACAGTCAACCACATTTCATGCAATCACAGCAAACTCGCCGAATTCAAACGAGAAATGCTCGCGGTGATACACTTAAGCCGACACATCACACCACATCACGGCACAGGGCCACACAACACGCAACAACACTACACTACACAACACAACACATTCACTGAAAATCCCTAGTCAACACCATTCATCATACAGGTTTGATAATTTCGCTAAATCCTTCCAACAATTCCGCATCACTCACAACGTAATATTCCCTTATACCACTCTATATCTCTCTATTTCTGTCTCTCTGCCGCACTCACTCTCCCTCTTACTCCACAGAAACACCACAAGAAAAAAGCAAGTCAACAAGACGTCGGGGAAGTCTCAATGAGACATTTCAGAGCAGAATAAATTTTTTTGAACCAAAAACACCAGGTGAGTGAGTTCATTGTGCACCCAACACTCGCCCTCTCCACCCCTGTTCATCCACCAGCCCAGCCTTCATAATCCATCCAGCAGTATGCATCAACCACCATCGAATTCACTCGGCCTACCACACAAACAAACACAAAAGCCTACAAACAAAGAGACCTTCAACACAGAAAAAATGTCTAACTATCCAAGTGACCAACTAACTGCCGATGACAGTCAACCACATTTCATGCAATCACAGCAAACTCGCCGAATTCAAACGAGAAATGCTCGCGGTGATACACTTAAGCCGACACATCACACCACATCACGGCACAGGGCCACACAACACGCAACAACACTACACTACACAACACAACACATTCACTGAAAATCCCTAGTCAACACCATTCATCATACAGGTTTGATAATTTCGCTAAATCCTTCCAACAATTCCGCATCACTCACAACGTAATATTCCCTTATACCACTCTATATCTCTCTATTTCTGTCTCTCTGCCGCACTCACTCTCCCTCTTACTCCACAGAAACACCACAAGAAAAAAGCAAGTCAACAAGACGTCGGGGAAGTCTCAATGAGACATTTCAGAGCAGAATAAATTTTTTTGAACCAAAAACACCAGGTGAGTGAGTTCATTGTGCACCCAACACTCGCCCTCTCCA